GTTCTGGGGCCAGAGCTCTGCTGGGCCTGCCCTTAATCCCTCGGAAATACCCACCACACTGGGTTGTGAGATACCAGCCTCAGCCTGCCCTGGAATGGGCTGATTTTACATAACATGTTTTTGCAACCAGCAATAACATGCCGCCCCTCAGTGTCATGTCTTCCACAAGCACTGACCTCGGGACAGGAGCATGTGTGCGCGTGTGTGTTCCACGTGTACTCTGCCGGCACTGCGTGTGGAAGGAGTATTAGCTTCCCTCCCTCCCTGGAGAGGCTTGGTTTATATAATCTACTTGTCTCTCAGGCCCATTTAGTTACCGGAAGTGGTCAGATGTTAGACAGACGGGGAACTGCAGCCAGGTCTCAGAGCTCAGGGGAGAATGGTTCTCATGCAGAGAGGTTGGGGAAAAGCAGGCAGGGCCTGGTAGTTCCTGTGTGCCACAGAGGCACATCCGACTCAGGTAGACCAGACACACAGAAAGCCAGCTGGGAACCCCAAGGGCTGGTTCTCTCTGTGGGGAGTGCAGGGGGTGGAGGGGATACTCATACCTGGACTGATGTTTACATGGGGCCCTTTCAAAACACATAGTAGGAGGATTTGTTGAGCAAAGAATTAAAGCAAAGACCACTGTATGTGCTTTTAAAGGATACATTTCCCATTTACCACTCAAGGGATCTATCCTTTCTAAAAAGCAAGGAGGGGGTCTTTGGTCTAAAGTCAGAATATTATCTCCCCTGACCAGGCCACCAGAAGCAACAACTTATACTTTTTCCAGGTTTCAGGAACATATTGGACTGGACCTTCCTGTCATTGGGTGCCACTTGTCTTGGACATGCCACCTTTTCCAGCCCTATCTTAACAGATAATGTTTTAGGGCAGCTGTTTCCTTGAGATTAAATGGTGGGGGCCACTTTTCATTTGGATTGATCTTCTCTTCTCCTCTTCCTTCTTTTCCTTGTCCTCCTCCTCTTCTTTCCCTTCTCCTCCTCTTCCTCATTCCCCTTTTTTTCTTCCTCTGAACACATGCCATTCCCTCTACCTGGAATATACTGCCCCCAGATATTTTTCACCTTTTTAATTGAGATATAATTTACATGCCATGATCCTCACCCTTTCACAGTATACAACTTTAGTGGTTTTTAGTGTATTCACGAAGTTGTGCAACCATCACTACTATCTAATTCTGGAACGTTGTTATCACCCCAAAAGAAATGCAGCATCCATTAGCAGTCATTCTTCATTCTCCCTCTTGCCAGTCCCTGGCAACCACTAATCTACTTTCCATCTCTGCAGATATGCCTGTTCTGGACGTTTCTTAAAAACCGAAATCATATACTCTGTGGTCCTTTGTAACTAGCTTCTTTCCCTGAACTGAAGTTTTCAAGGTTCATTCATGTTGTAGTGTGGCTCAGAACCTCCTTCCCCTTTATGGCCATGTAATATTCCATTGAATAGATGTACCACAATTTATCCAGTCATCAGGTGGACACGCACTAGGTTGTTGCCATGTTTTCACTCTTATGAACAGTGCTGCCAAGACCACTCACATGTCACCTTACCTCTCACCAGTGACTTTAAAGAAGCTCTGCCAACCTGCGTGAGCTGCACATCTGGTGACAGGTGTATGGCTTAGTACAGACTTTCTCCTTTCTTCTGCTGGCCTCACACTTGCCCCCTGTTAACGCCTAAGTGTTCTTGTTTTGGAAGGAGTGTAGGCAGTACCCTGAGTTGTATGTGTCTCTTGGTACCAGATACCATCTTGAGTTTGAAAAGCAAGGTGGCTGATTTTGAGGGGTTCTCAATGGAGATTGTGTCAACACAGTTCCCAGTGCCAGAAGTTCTACGTAAAAGGCCCCAGGGAAGGCAGCAAGGTTCATTCATTTATTCACCTAGATGCCACATTGAGGCTGAGGCTCCACGTGGCCTTATAGGTAGGACCAGCCCTCTATAGCCCTGCTGGATTTTTCCTGGAGAGGGAGGACCTCAGAGGGTGCAAGGCTTTGTTCTGTCACCTCTGTCACTTTGTTCCACTGATTTTTTGCCTCGCTGTAGTCTGCCAGCCTCAGGCCAAAAAGAGCGTAAAACCGAGCCTCCCTCAGCACACCACCCTGGACCACCAGGCACTGTGCAGATTCTCTCTTCCTTCCATGGCCTGAGCTTCCCATGCCCTCCCTCCCTGCAAATCACCTCCTGCTGGACTCTTTTCCAAGGCTGGGGGCTCCATGAGGGCAGGTGCCTGTGCTGCCTTGTTTGTCCTGGCACACTCAGCCCTGAGCAGAGTGTCAGGATCACAGGAAAGATAACGATGATGATGATGATGACAATGATGATGATGATGGCATCGATGACAGTGATAATGACAATGAGGCTTACTATGTATCAGGCATTATCCTATGTTCTTTACATGTTTCTGAACTCGTTTAATCCTCACAAGGATTCTAGCAGCCTGATGCTATTATCTCCGTTTTACAGATATGGAAACTGAGGCACATAGAGGTTAGGTCATCTACTCAAAGTCACACAGTCATCAAGAGGAAGAGCCAGGATCTGACATTCACAGTCTAACTCTAGAGCACAGGCCTCTAACCACTGTCATGGTTTATACACATATAGTACACATATGGTTTATACGCATATACTACACATATGGTTTATACGCATATACTACATGTATGTGAGTTGTTCTGGGACGGATGGATGGATGGGTAGACACAGGGGACGTATCAGTGGCTTCATGAGAAGGCCTGAGTCGCCAGGTGTGCCCCATTGAGTCACACTGAGTCTTGGGACAGGGTTAGCTACCCATGGCTGCTGCCTGTGTGCAGGTAAGGAGGCCAGGAGGTGGATTAGAGCCCAGGGTTGGAGGCCCAGACCGAGGAGGCTGGCACCCCCTAGGCTTGTGTTACACCAGGGGCTATGGCCAGTTCCCTCTGCCCGGCCTCAGAGCGGAGATCCTAGTCCCCGCCGCCGGAGTGGGGAGCCTCGGCTTCCTGTCCATTGTCTCCTTGGGGCACACCCAGCGTGTTCCTGAAGTGACCTGGAGAGGCAGGGAGGGAGGGAAGGAGGGAAGGGGGCCAGCCCAGAGCCTAGTCAGGGTGGGAGAGGGGAAACGAGAGGGGAAGACTTGGTGTTTTTCCTTATTTGTGTTTTGTATTAAAGAAAACAAATAATATCCTTTGAGAAAACCATTAAACAAAGCACATCCTAAGGCCCCAGAGGCCCATTGTGGCTGCCTGGAGCCCGGAATTCATTCATGCTTTCTTGGCTAGATTGTTGGAGGCAAGAGAGACAGGGGTGAGAGGAAAGGATTGTTATTAAAATATATTTTGAAATGTGTCGCTCCCTCCCTGCACTCAATCCAGTCCAGGTCAAGTGGTCATAACTCCAAGGTCCCTGTGTCCTCCTGAGTCTGTTGTTCTCCCTTTACCTCTCTGGGAAGCTCACCAAAACTGGCCAGTCCCAGCACAGCCAGGGCGGTCAGTTTCAACCACGAGCTTGGGGGCTGAGCCCTGTGAAGGCAAAACAGTGAGACCCTCCTTTATGGAGCCTGAATCCAGAGGGCTGCATGTGCCCCACCACAGGGTGCAACCCACAGGACTGCAATCTCTAACTCGCTGTGTGGCCACTCTGGGCCTCGGGCTTCCTGCCTGTAAGGTGGGGAGTGGGCAAAAATGGACCCCCTCTGACCGCTGTCCAGCAGCCTGGACCCTGTGGCTTCCCCTCATCCAGCGCATGCACAGGTCCCTGCAGGTGGGTAGGGCTCACCCTCAGGCTGCGGACTCTGCATCCATGCTTGTACCCAGGTGTCCCAGGTCCAAGCCAGTCCACTCTCTCCCACTTGATTCCAAGTCTAGGTACCCCCTACTCCACCCCAGGCTGCTCATAATGGAATGGTAGTGCATGATGGTGTTCTCTGCCATGTCCACACTAGAACACACTTTTCTGTTGGAGGAGGAATGGGAAAAGGTGGGAAGAGCAGAGCTGGCCATCAACCCAGGTTGTGCAAATAGCTCTGCCTGTGATTCTACATTTGCAGGATCGGCCCTGGGTTGCAAGTCGAGGGCCTCTCTCCAACCTTGATGTAGATGTATAAATAGTTGCTGTCATGGTGACAGTACACAAAAGACTGTCCTTAGAATTTCCCCTAGTTCCTCCTTTAAAGTTGAAAAAGAAGCCTGGGCAACAAAGTGAGACCCCATCTCTACAAAAATGAAAAAATGAGCTACGTGTGGTGATGCATGCCTATGATACTGGCTACATGGGAGTCTGAGGCAGGAGAATTGCTTGAGCTCAGGAGCTCAAGTCTGCAGTGTTTGCACCACAGCGCTCCAGCATGGGTGACACAGCAAGACCCTGTCTCTAATAATAATAATAATAGTATAATGTTGAAAAAGTAATTTAGCTATTTCCATGTTTTCCTAAATACTCCCTAGACAATATAGGGAAAGAAGATCTTGAGTAAAAATTTCACTGGGGGTGCCTAGACTAGGTTTAGGAGACAAATTTCCTCTTCACAGGGCTTAGGGTTTTCAGATTTTACCTCCTTGGTCCTCTAGCAGCCCAGAGAAGAAGGTTAACGTTCCCATTTTGTTATGGAACTTGTGCTTAGAGAAGTAACTTGCCCTGGGATGCACAGCCAGTGAGCTGCAGAACCTGGCCCCAGCTCTGCTGTTCATTCTCTGCAAAACCTTGAACCAGCTTGTTCATCTTTCCAGATTTGAATGTCTCATCTGTAATTCAAGGACCTGGACATATTGGATTCTAAGGTCCTCATTGTCCCTACTGTTCTTTGATTCTATAATTCCAGCATCATTGCCTGGTAGGAAGTTCATTGACTACTGTTTTTCCTTTTTCAGTCTGGATTTGGTAGTCAGAATCTAGTCTCTCCAAACTCTTGATGTCTTTCTGTCTTAGATGCTGGTGTACTTAGTGCAGTCCCAGAGGTGCTTTGCTCTCTTTCAGGAGTTACTAATGATCCCCTTCCTCCCCGCATGACACAGGGCTACCATCCGATGCCCCATGAAGTGGAGATCGCACACACCAAGAAGCTGTTCCGCAGGAGGAGAAATGATCGAAGGTAGGAGAGACTTCGTCATGAGCTTTGGGTTTTCCTTTCCTGCTTCTGCCATCTGTAGCAACATCAGCTTTGGCCTGCATGTTGCTTTTCCCAGTTACCAGCTGGTCCTGATGAGACGGGGTTGGTGGCACCGTGGGTTGGTTACTGGTTGGGGATTCCCCCATGGACAGAGTGGCAGCTCCACTTCTCTCGTTGGCCTAGGGGTTGGCTTCCTTCAGGCGTTTGAGCGAGAGCCCACCATCACCACTGCCTCTTCCTGGGGGTCAGGCAGTGCCCAGGCTTTGCAGTTCAGGAGGAAAAATGCTCTTTCCACTGACCTCAAAGCAACAATAGTGGTCCTCAAAAAATAGGACTAGCTGGCTGTGTGTTTTGAGACATGGCCTCCAGGAGGCTCCTGGAGCTCACAAGTACAAGAGTATCTGTTTTCCTCCTCCCTGGTCACTGGGAGTTGTCCCTCATGTGTGCTGGCTCTGCTGTCACAGGCAACACAGAGATCAGCAATGGCACGTGCTACTGCTCCCAAATTCCTGGGGGAACCCACTTAAACTAAGGCAGAAACTGGGATCTCCTGTGGAGCTCAGAGTCCTGGGTAACAATGGGGCCAGGAAAGGGGCAATGGGGTAGCCCTGGATAGGAACATGCAGCTGAAATTGAGCATCCTGAGAATGTGTGCGTTTATTTTCAAAAAGGCTTTCTTATAAGGGGAGAGCTTCAAGATATATTTTAAGTGAAAAAATTCAGGTGCAGAGCAATGTTTCTTATGTGTGGCCATTTATGCAAAAGGGGGAGTTAGAGTATATTTTTTGCTTGAACATGCATAAATTATTTCTGGATGGAAATACCAAAAAAAGAATGAACAAAAAGGCTTATGCCTGAGGAATTAAAATGAGGTGTTCCTCTACAGGGAATGTATTCTTAGATAAAGATGACAGCTTTTGGTTCTACCTTTAATGAACAGAGAATGTTCTCCAAGGGCCAAGAAACAGCCGGTGGACATGCCTTGCTTAGAACCCTAGGATTGCCTGTACTCAGGCTGGCTGGCCACCTCCTTAGGCTGAGACCGGGGTCTCTGATCCTTCCCTACACATGCACGCCCTGAGTAGGGATTATTAGGTGGTGACTGCAACTCTCGGGGTAGATGTAGGCCTGGGTACCCAGACTGCCTTGTCATCCACTGATGGGTTAAGTGGATCTGAACACATTCACAGAGGATGGCAAAAGTATAAGTATCTTGGGAAGAAGGCAGGGTCCTGGCTTAGAAATCAGAACCACCAGACACTTTCTGTAGAAGCACCAGGCATCAAAAAGGAACACTGAACAGGGAGAGGTGGACCCAGTCCTGTTCCTGCCTTGACCAGAGTACAGTTTATTGCATCGTGTGTGCTGCCTTTTTGCCGTGCAGCATCACGGAGGCAAATTCCTGGTTTCTGGGTTCCTGGTAGAGGGAAGAAGGAGGCAGCACCCCTCAAGAAGGAATAGGGTTCACAGGGGCCTTGGAGATGTCAGGGAGAGCAAAGGCTTTATGTCCTCTGCCCCTGACTCTGTAGCCTCTGATGGCAGGCAGGACCCAGAGTGTGTGTCTGGGAGGTGTGGAGAGTCCCCGAGCTTCCTGATGAGAAGTCACCCTCTGCCCCACCTCTCCACACCCAGGCAGTGGCAGGCTGCCGCCCGGCATCCAAGTCAGCCTGCATGTCCATTTCTGGGCCAGGTCACCTCCCTCAGCAGGAAGACCCGGGACAGTGGCAGGCCTCCGGAAAGCAGCAGTGTGACCCAGGGATGTAGGAAGAGGAGCGTGGCATGCAACGGCTGGGAAGCCGAGCTTCCGCTGAGCCGCGCTCACATTCACCAATGCCCGGGTTAGGTCAGCACACCTCCCAAAGGATGTGGACGGGCCAGGGTCCAAAGTGAGGCAATAAAGATGATTAAAGGGGTGGAAAGTATGTCCTGTGAGGAGTGCTGGAGGGCCGGGGCCAGGGAAGAGGAGGCCGGAGGGAAGGAACATCGTGCCGTGAAACTCATGAAAGATTTATATGGAGACATGAGAGGCTGCTGCCTCCATGTCCACAGGGACCCAGACTAGAGGAAGTCAGCTTGGATGGAAGAACAGAGTTTTCAGTTGGACCAAAGACAGGCTGATGGAGCAAACATCTTGACCGTTTGGGGCAAGACTATGCAAGTCAGAGCAGCAGCCATGCCTGAACACGGAGCATGTGCTGGCCGGGGCACCCCATTCAAATTCCCCTTCTGGATGCAGTAGAATCCATTACTCACTCACAGCCTGGAGCTCTCCTGGAGTCCCCAGGTGATGGGGACTTTCAGAAGAGCAGGCAGCCATATAATTTAAGGATGTTTTTGTCTACAAGCAGGGATCTCCTGAGTCCATTTTGGGAAATCATGGGATTCTGACATTCAAAGAGCAGCTGCAGAATATTATCAGGTTGACCCCTAACCTTCCCAGCTAATGACCCATAGTAGTAGCCTTGCTAAGTGTCAAACCTACATATTTGACCTTGGAAGTCCATACTCGTGTGCAGCAGGTTCACCTTCCTAATATTCTGGGCTTAAACCACACTGGAAGGGGCTTGCATTTCCTGGGTGTGCATGGCAGCAAAGGGAGAAGTGACAAGAATCAGATTTGGTGGCCAAAGGGCACAGCCAGCATCTGTGCCATGCCTCTGATCTCCCCCCGACACATGAAAGAAAGGGACCAGCTATATCCCCCTGGTGGCTCGGTGGCTCTCCTTGGAATGGAGAGGAGTCTGTGGCTTTCCATCTTCCTGCAAAGTGGCTGGAGTTGGTGTCCGACAGCTGCAAACTCCAGGCAGCCTGGGCATGTTGCTGAAGCTAGGAGTGTGCAATTTCCCACAGCCTGGAGCAGGATTTTCAGACTGGGACCTAGAATCCTAGTCTTCATCGAAGTCTGTGTCCTTTCCCAGTTCCAGCTGTACTCTCAGGCGTGTTATGTGCCTTGCTGTTTTTATTTTCCACTTGTTTGAGTCTGAGGCTGTTAGCAAGCTGAATAATATAGCAGTTTAGGGACATGCCCTGGAATTAGGAGCTGGATGGAAATCCCACCTCCTCTACTCACTCACGCTATGATCTTGCCAATTATGTCACTTCTTGAAAGCTCTGTCCCTTCTTCTATGAAATGGGTTCACTAGTCAGGGAGCTGAAAGGACCTAATTCTTATAAAACACCTAGAAACATGGTCTTAGTGCTGGCCCACTCTACAGGTCAGAGGGGGTCCTAGGTGCTCAGGAAGGCTTTCAAGGTAAGTGTGGAGCACAGGTGTCTGCAGTGAGTGGGGAACTTTTGTCCTGTGATCATGGCAGCAAACCCAGAAAGCTTTGCCCTGCATTTCCTCCAGGGGCAGGCCGCCAGGATCAGTTGTTCCTTCCCCTGGATCCACTTTTAAAGCCCTACCCACACTGTCAGAGGGGGCAGAGCCTGGGCTGGCAGGGAAAGAGGCCCCTTCAGAGTGGCCACCTGCGGACTCTGCTCCTGATGCCGTGGGCTGCGTCTAGCGAGTTGTGCCTGTCTTTTTTCCATTTTGCAAAAAAAAAAAATTAAGCTCATGGACAGTTCAAAGGTTTCCTCCTTAAGAATGTTCTTGACATTTGAACAACTAGTAACCCCTTGTTTGTTTTTGGAAGCTAAGAAAAGACATTTGCTGATTTCAGACAAAATTATGCCTTTTGTGACACAAATGTGCTAAATGAGTGTTCCATGCGTTCCTCAAAGAGCAGCATGCCTTCTGATGCTCTGGCCCCACACAAGTTGGAGGCCTGTTGCTTGGAATGGGGCCTGCTAAGGTTCGTCTCCCTCCCCTCAAAGCTTTCTGCCCAGAGCACACAGACCAGAAGAGCAAACTCCCTAGAGGGCCAGAGACCTGGCACACTGCCCGAGTTGACCCTGAGTGAGGTCCCTCACCACTGGGGAGGATATTTTCTCTCCCCACCACACCCTGGCTGCGTTTAAGAAATGAACACATTAAGGCAATGAATGGATGTTGTAGCCTGAGCTCCCTGGGAAGCAGGCTCTGGGACAGTGATTATCAGCAGCCGCTTTTAAAGGAATGCCCTTGGTATCAATACTGGTAGAAGATCAAAAGAAGAAGCGGTATCGGCAGAGAGAAGTTGGGCTGCAGTGCAGTCTTAGAGAGTTCTGAGCCTGTAGGGAAGGTTTTGAAGTTGGGGTGACTCTTTAAGAGCTGTCCCAAGATGGGGTAAGGGGGCAGGCCTTGATATCCCCATGTCTGTTGGTCATCAGGCGGGGACTGCCCGAGGAAGGGAGCATGACCTTGGGTAGGGCTGCGCTCTTTGCCCAGAGCAGTTGCCCTAGGGGCTGGCAGCTGAGGGCTGTCTGCACAGCACTTCTAGCAGCCAGGTGGCAGTGCCCCACTCCTGAAGGGGATCTGGGCAGCATATCGCATCAGACACCTCAGTGAAGGACTGTTCAGTTCTCCTACTGGGATTGGTTGGGCTGTACCCTGTGCCATATGCTGTGCTCCCGAGAACACCGGAAGTACAGGGTGTGGCCCCTGTTCTCCAGGGCCTGAGCTGTAGCTTGCACAATGGAGCCTTGACTCCAGAAGCAACCAGAATGCTGTGCATGACTGTCAGGCATCCACGTGTTAACAGGGAGGAGGCTTAGAGAAAGCAGCCATTCTGGGAGATGCTCCAGAATGCTTCATGGAGGAGGTGGGGCTTGAACTACTAGTGAGACTTCCAGGAGGATTTGGGAGATGCAAGGGTGCTGGGATGAGAGGAGCGGCACTTGCTGCCTCTGTCCTGCGATTGACCGTGGCTCTGGCTTGGTGTCCTCTAAATGTTCCTCTGCAGCTAAGCAGGCTCTGGAGCCAGGGATTCCCCACGTCCCCAGAAGTCGCCCCCACATGGCTCCCTAGAAACAGAGCCAGGTGGGTGGTGCTTACAGCGGCCACCACCCCCAACTGAACTACATAGAAGGGAAAAGCCCTTCGAAGCCTGCAGGCTCAAGAT